GGGGCCACGCTGGGATGATGTGGGTGCCAGAGCCGGTGTCGAGGTGTGGGAGGAATGGACCTCCAGCAACTGCTCCAGATGTGCAGGGAACTGGGGGGAACGGAGCTGGCAGCACACGTGGGCTCACTGCCATGGGGCTGAGCCAATGCTGATGGACATCCCACCCCGGCTCACCCCCCAGCCATGGGGACAAGCCCCACAGCCCTGCTGGAGGCAAACAGGACCTGTCCCCAAGCCTTCCCAGAGTGCAGAGAGCCCTGGGTTTCCACTGCAGGGGGGAGGTTTTGTTCAGGTTTGTGTCAGACCCCGTCCCACGCTGGCCACCGCTGCCGGACTAATGCCAAAGCTCAGCCGGGGCTGATGACAGATGTGGTGGCTGCCCTGCGATGCTTCGGCCGGGAGAGGGGTGGGTAACAAAGCACTTTGCTGGCTCAGCTGCAGTGGTTTCCTGCTTCACGGAGGATAAACAGCCAGCCCAGCACAGAGCCTCCGGCTTCCTGGCACCCTGCTCCCTCCCCTCAGCCTGCAGGCACCGATACAGCATTGCTCCCATCCCTGCTGCCCGGGCTGGTGCCCGTGGGGCGATGATGCGGGGTGATGCTATGAGGCAATGCTGTGGGGTGATGTTGCTGCATGTCAGGGCTGGAAGGAAAGCCAGAAGCAGGAGGAGGATGACCGAGCCGTCTCCCGGGACCATCCATCGCCAGCCTGGCCAGATGCAGACACATCTGACACAGCGCAGAGCCCTTCCTTAATCTCGCCTTCGTTTTTTCCCATGTCCGAGGCGCAGCTGGTCCCAGCCCTCTCGCTCTCAAGGAATCCAGTTACTCACCCGCACACCCAGGAGAGGCCCAACCCTGGACATGCAGAGCAAGCGTGGTCGCTCGGAGCAGAATTAAACCTCTTAATGTGGGTGAAAACTCCCCGTGGCCACAGCTCCAGCGGGGTTCGTGGATGTGTAACCCACATTAGGAGCCCCAAAGCTCAGCAGAGCCTGGAGATAACGTCCCCGTGTGCCACTCCTGCCCTCTGGACCATGCCACCGCAGACACGGTGACCTGAGACCTCTCTGGGACATATCCTGGCTCCCTTGACATAAAACCACCCCAGGAGATGAATCTCCCCGTGAGTAGGAGCTGCATCATGGTTGACATCACACCATAAAGAACAACTAAAAATAAAGAGGTTTAAAAATAAAGAGCTCTAAAAATAAAGCAGTGCAAAGCCCAGGCGGGTCCTGGGATGGGCACTCTGCACCTCCTGCCCACGGCAGCATCACCAGGAGCCCCTGAAACCCAAATCCCCTCGTGATGCCCTGCATTGATGCTCACCGTGCTGCGCCATGCGCCTGCGGCGGGCGGCAGAGGCCCAGTGTGTCCGGCTGTCCCTGTCACCCGTGCCACACCGCGGCAGAGCCATCTGATGGAGCGTGGGGGCGTCCAGGACCCCGCTGAGCGGGAGGTGGGTCACCCACTGGAAGTCCCTGGAGAAGGAAGGGAGATGTCAGCACCCAAACCTGGACCTCCCGGGGGCTTTGGTTGTGTTCGGCTTGAGACAAAGCTTCACACCCCGCTGTCAGAAATGGGATGAAACAAGAAGAGTTCGCCTCTGCAGCCGCATCCAATCAGTGAGCCAGCTCCTCACAGGGCAAAAGTGAACAGGGCAGCCTAAAAAAGGCTTCTCCCAGTGTTTAACCCCAGCGGTTTGACTTTGCACTTGACTGTGCCCTGGGTCAAGCCGGGGATGCTCCCAGAGCCGATGTGGTGTCCGCAGGAGAGGTCCAAGCAGGAGCTCTCAGCTCGGCCCAGAAGTCACCGAGCCACCCCAACCTCAGCCTCCCCGCACATATTACATTTCTGCACGGGGAGCACCAGGCCATAAAAGGCAAATAAAGCAGCGCAGCGAGGCACCGCGCTGCTGGCATCCAGCTGTGGGAGATGGGTACGGACCCGCCTTTCCAAAAATGACCACTTGTGCTTTAGCACCGGACCATGTGAGAGAGCCCTCAGCTGCAAGACCCCCCCCCAGCTGTGCAAAGCCCCCTTAGCTGTGAAAAGACCCCCATCCCCAGCACTGGCAGCTCCCCTGCAGCCGGAGTTGCTGCATTTCTGCTGCAGTTTTAAACAACGAGCTCGTACCTCACCGCCTCCGTGAACTCGACGGGGCTGTGTGCGCCGGGTCCCTGCTCGCTGAGGTAGCCGTATTTCTGCAGGAACAGCTGCAGGGAGAGACACAAGAGAGCAATGAGCAGAGCAACGAGCAGAGCAACGAGCAGAGCAACGAGCAGAGCAATGAGCAGCTCAGAGCACAGGCAGGCGTTTGTACCCCCTTGGGATGGGGGGGGAAAGAAGGAGATGCAATGGGAAAATGGGCAAAGAAGGAGATGCAACGGGAAAAAAGTGCAGCAAAGCGGGGCTGGGCAGAAATTCCCAGTTATTTTTTTTTTTCCCCAAAACCTCTGCAGCCCAAGCTGCTGCACTTCCTGCAAGTGCCAAGCTGATCTGGTCCATATATTTGCAATGTAGGACTTGGGAAAACCTCGATTAAGTCCATAATTTTTGATGGCTCTTGGGTTTTTGCCCATGCTACAAGGGAGGCGGGGGAGGAAACGCTGCTAACAACGGATCAAAAAAAACACCCGTCTGCCATGGCATCCACAGCCAGAGGCTACCAAACCCCTCGAATCACCTCGGAGGGACCGAGGCAGTGATTAAAATAAAGGCTCAAGTGCCGTGGACAGGGTAGGGTGGGGTGAGACGGGCCCAGGCTGCAGCTGCCCCCATCCCCACGCAGGATGTGCTGCTGGAAAGCGGCGACGCTCCGGGGGCAATCGGCTCTGCCAAACCATTCTTCTCCTTATCGCCCATTCCCATCGACGCAGATCGCCGCTCTGAACCTGCTCCAACCCAGAAATCGCACATTAAAGAAAATAAACGGCTTCCCCTGCCCAACCTGTGCCCGGAGCTTTCGGAGAAGTGAACGGCCATGGCTGCAGGGAGGCTGTGCACCCTTTTCCCAATGCTGGGGGAATCTCCTCTTTCACACTGCATCGACCTGGAGGATCCCATGGCTTCCTGCTGCGACACGCTCCTCTCCCAGCCCTAGCCAAAAAATTTGACTGTGTTTGCCACCAAAACACCCGGTTCCCAGTGAGTCAGGGTAGATCAGGCTTGGGAAGAGCCATGCCAGTGGGTGAGAGCATCGGCCTGCCCAGCAGGCAAAGCCACAACACCTCTGCCCATGGATGGGCTGCACAGCCTGGCCATAGGGGGATAACCCCTCCTTTACATGGGATAACCCCTCCTTTACATGGGATAACCCCTCCTTCACATGGGATAACCCCTCCTTCACATGGGATAACCTCTCCTTTACATGGGATAACCTCTCCTTTACATGGGATAACTCCTCCTTTACATGGGATAATCCCTCCTTTACATGGGATAACTCCTCCTTCACATGGGATAACCTCTCCTTTACATGGGATAACTCCTCCTTTACATGGGATAACCTCTCCTTTACATGGGATAACCTCTCCTTTACATGGGATAACCTCTCCTTTACATGGGATAACTCCTCCTTCACATGGGATAACCTCTCCTTTACATGGGATAACCTCTCCTTTACATGGGATAACCCCTCCTTTACATGGGATAACCCCTCCTTTACATGGGATAACCCCCCCTTACTCAGGGACTGGGAGGCAAAATGTGGCGGTGACTCGGGATGCTCACAGGGGGAAGGGGGATACGGGATGGGGAGGTTTGAGAGCCCTGAGAGCAGCCTGGAGAGGAGGAGGTACCTGGCCCCCTTCCTCTCGGTTGGGATTTTATGATGTTCTCCTTGAGAAGCAGAAAATCACCAGCTGCACATATGGACATGGGTGATAATCCCAGCGGTTACCTCACCACTGATACATGCGAGCTACAAAGCACCCGGACAGAAAGTCCTGGGTATCAAATCACCACGGCACAGCCTAAACCTTTCCTATCACAATTTCTCTTTCACTTAGCATCTGAAACATAACAGCTTGGAGCTGTTTCCTCTCCTGGAGCCTAACATGATCCCATTCTCAAAGTGTGAAAATGTCCTTTCCCACCACAATGTCACGAAGGCTCCAAACCCCATCTGGACCAGTCGGGTCCATGGCAGAAAGCAGCGGTGATCCCAGCAACTGCTCTCGTACCTACGCATGCTCCTGGCTTTATTATCCTTGCCCAGATCTCCTCAAGCTTCGCAAGCCCAACCAAAGCAGCAATTTCCCCATAGCCTCTGACCTGTGTCACATTTTGCTTCTCACTCACAGGCACCAGCTCTGGGGCTGCAAAACCACAAGGAGAAATCTTACGGCATTTTCTAGACGTGGTTATTGTGAGCTGCAGGTGATGCTGCAAACACAGAGCTACCGGGGAGGGATGTGCTGAGCCTTTGCCGTGCAAGGGGTTTATTTATCAGACAGCAAAGCCTACGAAGTCTCATGGACCAGAGACTTTTCAGGTCCTGTGCCCAAACCAACCCTGCACGCCCCCCCAGAGACCAGCCAGGCTCTGGTATTACTGGGGGGAAGCTGGTCCCAGCCCCCTACACCTCTCCAGAGGCTGCAATGCAAAGCCTGGCCATGCTGGGAACCCCCCCGCCCTCCTGCCCCAGAGAGGGAAATGCTCTTTTCCATACAATGGGAGAAGAAAAACAGCAGGAAACCGAGGGCTGAGCATTGATATGAAATAAGCCCAGGTCCCCTGCCGCAGGAGGGAGGAAGAGGAGGAAAGGAGAGGAGGAAAAGCTTGGCTGCCCCGGAGCCAGCACTGAGGCAGGAAACCTTTGGGGCTGGCGCAGGGGCAGTGGGAGGATGGTTTGAGGACATGGGGAGGTGACATGGGGGGCTCTTCCCATCCCCGAGTGCTGATGGGGAGCTGGTCACAGCCCTGGAGATGAGCTCAAGCCAAGGAAACACCTTGTCCCCAGCCGCAGGCATCCTGGGTGGAAGGCGGCCAACAGCAACCACCATTCGTGCCGTGCTTACAGAGGACACCGGCCACACGCTGCACCTCAAGGTCTTTTGTTTTCCATGATGAGATGGCAGCAGCCCGGCCATCAGCCCAGGTCCCAGCACCCCCAGGCTCCATCCTGCAGCTTTTCACAATTACACAAGTCTATGGGGGCAGATGGGATCCA